GGGGGAGGGTGAGCTCGGCCTGTAGTTGACTGTTAGCGATCTGTTTCTCTAGAAAACCGTCCCCTCGCGTGAGTTTCCTTCTTGCAGTCTTGCTCGAATAACTCAAAGAAAAATTGGAATTTCCACATGGTGCAACTGACGCAATACTCAGCTAACAGATATATCATCGCTGAGGTTATCGGCCTCCGAGAAAGAAAAAAGCTGAAATATAAAACCAGCTGACATACTCGTCTGTTAAGACAAACGATGCGATGCGATCCGGAGAACAGACTGCCACAAATCAGATCGTGGCACGTCGCACAAAGCCGTTGGTCCAGCGGGGACTGTATTTGCATGCTAGAGGGAGGGAGGCCGTATTTGCCTTTGGGGAGATGTTTTCGGTTGTTGACTTTTCACGGTTTTTTCCTCTTCCAAGTCCGTTGTATATCTCAGAAGATACGGGGAGTGAGGGGGAGCGGCGGAGGGGACAGTCGTATACAGCTACATACGCAGGGTAGCCGTGGATCTTCGGGCAATTCTCTTTTCTTTTTAAGGTTCATATTTCGGTGATCTGCAGTATGTCGCTGTCCCGCTGATGCTCGTAATAGACGATGTGATGCTCGGTGTGATCGATTGTTCACAAAAGAATCCACGTCATTGGATATTGAGTCCTGTGGAATACACATACCAACAAATTTCACGAAGTGACAAGCACCCTTTGAATGCAAATGAATGGATTTGCGATGAATGACAATACGCCATAATGGTGGTACCACCACCGCCATAATGGTGGTTTGTAAAAAAAACCCCAACAGAACGGAATCCATAGGGGCAAAAACCTCTCAACTCTCACCAGAAAAGGTCAACAGGTAAGTCCGGCAATTTCCAGTAAGGTGCACACCGTTATACGCCTTGAGAAGATGAACTCAAATCTTATTCCGGCGCGGTTCGGTTGTTTTATTAAGTTGTCAGGAAAGTTCCTGGCGTTTTGAGTGTTTCCGATCATAACTTTCATCGGATTCAATCGAAATAAGCACCGTTCGAATCAGCACACTTTTGCCAATGTGACACCAGTCGAGAAATCCCATCAAAGAAAAAAAAAAACTGGGTGGTCGAGAATCCAACGAATCTTCGAAGGTTTTTTTGCCTGGTCCTAATTGATGAAGTATTTTCCCGGCAAGAAAATTCTGAGAATGTCTGGAAAGGTGATAGTCGGTTGGTGGAAGGTCTGGAGAATATGGCGGGTGAGGTAGAACTTCAACTCCCAATTCGTTCAATTTATGGATAGTGATTTGTGAAACGTGTGGGTGGGCGTTGTCATGCAAGAACTCGGACTTTCTGTTGACAAGGGCTTGCAGCGCAGTGATGCAATTTTGTGGTACATTTGCGTCGATTTCCTTTACCAGTAGGATTTTGATGTGATGGTTTGGCTGGTGGAACAAACAGTTATGATGGATCACACCAGCCGATGACCATAATCTCTTTTTTTTCGTGAGGATTCGGCTTTGGAAATTGCCTCGGTGTTCGTCGGCATCCAACCACTGTCCGGAACGTCTCCTGTTATCATACATGATCCACTTTTCATCAGAGGTGACAATTCGGTCCAAAAAGGGTCGTTTCTGTTGCGCAAAAGCAGTGAAGAAGAAACCTCGAGACGTGCCAATTTCTGCCGGTCACTCAAATTGTGGGGCACCCACTTGTCGAGTTTTTTCACCTTCCCAATGCTTTTCAGACCATCCGCAACAGTGGATATGCCAACGCTTTTCTGCACTCTTTCAAACTGTTTGGCATGGGACAGCCTCACAAACAGTCCTGATCGCTACGGTGCTGTTCTCCAACATATTGAAGCCCCATACCGTACTTTGTCGAGCTGTCATCGAACTAGCGGTTGAACCGCAATTTGGTAGTATGAGAAAATATCGACCGAAGTTGCTCTTTCGACATGCTTCAAGAAGTCGTGGTAAAAGAGGGTTCATCAAGAAATGGTGAAACGGCAATTATACCATCAGATAGCGCAAAGACTTTCTTCAGGATGTACCACTGAGACAAAGAGAATGAGCTTTTAATCAGCAATGTATGTACAAATAATAGTAACACAAAACGCTGAGAACTTTCCGGACAACCTAAACATGCTATCGCAAGGAAATGAATGGGCGTTCTTACATATATGGGGAGACTCGTTGTTTAATGTGTCAGTACTCCCCTGTATATGATAAGCGTCGTTGTTTGACGGGCAGTAGAGCGCAACAGGCAGTGAGCGGGTTCTCCAGGCGAGGGGTTGTGGGATCGATTCCCTGAGATCCCGTGCTTTTGCATTTGTCAAGAACATGACCGACAAAGTTCCTAACATCTCTGCTCGCCTGCAGCCTGAAGGGGAACTGCGATCAGTTTTTTTCTCGAAAATGTAGACCCATTGTGGCTTGAAAGAGTGCTTGTGCTTGTCTCCCTAATAACACATGTCAAAGGGATTTCGCAATGAAGTAGTATGATACTCGTGTCCAGCAGGTCTGATTACCTCTACAAGCAAGTTTCTAGCCAAATCCGATATTTCGACCTGACTTGGAAAATGTGGGCTATTCTATGGAGTAATCAGGAAAATGATGCAAACGGCACGAATAACTGAGCCAGGTATTTCGCGAAAACATGACTGTAGTTATTCCATCTCGAAGACCAGTCATCACAAGTAGGCTGGTCGTAGTATCGCTGTTGCCTACCAGTCAACCATTACTAACCTCACTCCATTTTTGCGAAGTTGAGTCAGAATCTCAGAATTTCAGGGGTAATTTGACCCCTGAACACGAATATGATACCTAATTTGCAATAGGAGGGTTGTAAGTCGCGCTACAGGTGCCAACGACCCGGCGCCAGCGCGTGTTGAAGAAAGAAACAGTAAGAAAAACCTCCATAACTCCGCTCAGAGAATCGTTCCGCAAATTTTGAAGATAGTTTTGAGTTCACCGTCTCAAGGCGAGTACAACGATGTGCACCTCATTGCAAAAAGCCGGGTTGACCTGTTGACCTTTCCTGATCAGAGGTTTTCAATGGCCAAGATGAATGCCGCCTTCAGCCGCTACAGCAAGTGAGAAGTTGCGTTCCTGATAAATGATAGCTCGTTCCAAGGGGTCTCAAAAAACTTCCCATGCAAAGGGTCAGAGGCAAAGGCAGAGCTCTCGATCACTTATCACGACCTAAGCCCCCATAGAGAGAGGTAGTTCAAGGCTAACCCTGTATAAGTTTCACGTCAGTATATAGCGGCGGTGAGGCCCAAGATCGCGCAAGTGACTCAGAGGTTCGGTATTTGGTCGCTGGAGGGTGGAGGGGGGAGGGGCGTGTGTTGCATTTGCCTTTGGTGGCATCGTTTGTTAATGTTTCTCCATTTTTCCTGTTTAAAACAGGAGACAAGAGAAAGTCAAGCGCGCTGAGCGGCTACATGACCCCTCGCACTTCTCCCCCCCCCTTTCCTCCCCCAAGATGCCACGGAGGTTTTTTGGGCGAAAAAGTGAGGGACGCGATGGAAGTTCCCTGGCGAGGGG